AACCTGCCAGCATTTCATTAATGTTGGCAACTATGGAATCTTTAATGAACAAAAAACTATTATTCTTCTCTTCCTTTCACCTGCAGTCCTGCCACCAAAACCATCAAGAGGGTTTTCAAAATATTAACATTCATTTGAGGTCATAAAGTTATTATTATTAATGTTGTAACTTTATATATGACATGTCTTTTACATCCATTTGATTAATGTAACAACAGCACAGAATACATTATAGATATAGCAATATATGATATAAACTCCGTCTTAAGTGTAGCAATTTATTGTAGTTCTTTCGTCTTCCTTTCTTCTACACTACAGGGAGCCTACACAGAATATCTCAACAGTGCTGAAAACAAGAAGTAGCCGCTGCAGCGGGTAACCCTGAGAATTTTAAATTTTAAAATTAGAAAAAATTTTAAAGAAATTTTTAAAATTGGAATTGAAGATTTTAAAAGTGCCAGTTTATGAAAATCAAATTGACGTGTGTAGGTTAACAGAGATTTTGTACATATCTGACTGATATCAGTGGGGAAGATTCTGATATATCGAAACCTGTCAACAACGGCGAAATGAACAATTGAGAAGACTAGTGTTTTTTAAATTTTAAACTACATGCAGTGTAGCAGCTACGTGAGAGTATACACCTGATGATGGCCATTTGCGGCCGAAACGTATAGTGTAGAAGAAAGGAAGATGAAAGAACTACAATAAATCGTTACACTTAAGACGGAGTTTATGTCATATACTGTGTAGAGTGTAATAGGATGCTTAAATATAATATAGATATAGCAAATTAACAAAATTAGGAATGATGTTAGTTTTGTAGACTAGAAAAAAAATTAAATTTATTTGCAGAATATACAAATTTCATACGTCTAAGCCAAGCATGCAGAACTACATGGTAGTAGTAAAATAAATTTTTATTTCCAGTATAAATATAAATATAATACATATACAGATGTCTCAGATAACACAGTATAATACCCAAGTAGAGGTATTCCATGCTACAGGTATATCAGTTCATAAAAATGTGATCTAATTTTAATCCAATCAACTAATTAGACAAGACTAAATTAACAGCATCCACTGTAATGCAAATTGTTTGCTGCCCAATTGAGAGTTGGGGAGAGAGAGAGAGAGCATAGGACTGCACGGAAAGTGGTG